AGAGAGAGAGAGAGAGAGAGAGAGAGAGAATCAATATAAATATAACAACAATATTTTTCAATAATGTTAATGTTATAAAAAAATCATGGTTTATTTTTCCTGGCTAAATTTAGAATGTCAAGTAACTAAAGAAAACGTATCAATTTATATCGAACCATCTTGAAATGCTGAGATGAGTCTGCTCTTGTCATACATGTTATTTCTGGCTTTTGAAGAATTTGCAGTAGCACGCAAAAAATCTGGTGGAGCATATGCGGATGGAGCTGAGCGTAACGATGTGTCATACATAATTCGCTCGATATCATCGTTTGTGCTCAGAAGATATAAAATTTGTTGATTGCTGCAGACAGATGCTGGGATTTCGCCTATCTCAGATCTTATATTTTTATCGGCACCATTTTTCAAGAGTAAGACAGCGATGTCTAAGTATCCCTCTTTACATGCCCAATGTAATGCAGTCCTTGAGAAACAGGAATGCAAACGAAAAATGAATAATATGATATAAATATCTTAATACACGTAAATCAATAAAACAGTTAGATTTATTTATTCTGTTACTAATATAGTATATATGTATATATAAAGTTCATGTATTTTTATAGTTAAATGTATTATGAATAATAGTATTTTATAGTATTAGTAACAGAATTCTTTTAAGAATACTGAATGACATAGGTCAAAAAAACTTTCAATGATTTAAGATTAGTGTCGTCCTTGAGTCTCAGTGTTGCGCGCTACGATAAAACACAATGAATTGAAAAGTAGGAACAGTAATAGGTACAAATACTGACACATTTTAATTCAAGCCAAAAGTATTCAGCCCTGATAAACTCTGACAACTCTGATCTAACTTTCACATTGGCATTAGAGCCCATTTTTATCCCAAGCAATAGAATGTAAGTTATTCCATTTAATGAGTACAAGAGAAAGCGAGAATGAACTTTACAGGATTAAAAAAAAATTCAGAAATATGTATTTTTATGGGTTCTGTCTGTGAAGCTATGAAAGCAAAGCTGAAATGACAAGTAGGTACCATCCGCTGACAGGTTCTCGCGCGTTAACGTCAACACCTAGAGTCAAGAGATCTTGGACGGCTTCGGTGTCGCCGAGGCAGACCCTTTCCCTTAAACGCTCTTCGAGCACTCTTTCCATTTTGCAACGATTTACATGCACCGCGCTGTGATATATGTCACATATTTGTAATGTTATAGGCGAACGAGGCAGCTCAAAGATGGAGCATCAAACGTACGGTAAGCGTAAATATAGGCCGTGTTCTGAGACTTCGAAAATCTATAGTTCACGTTACGTATATTATAAGGTGAGTATAGATTTTCGTACTGGCAGTGTATACAAACATCGAAACACATCCAGCAGTCTGAAATTGTTGCTAGCAGTTCATATTATATAGTCAAAGAGAAGAACAGGATTATGCTTTATCCCAGACTATTGAACTTCTTACAGATTCATCTTTTTTTTTCTCATATTGAAGATAAAAAAATTAGAGATGAATCCTATCTGAAGAATATTATTTTTGTACTGGCAATGTGTACAAACATCGAAACATATTCAAGTCTAAAATTACTGCTAACAGTCCATATTATATAGCAAAAAAAAGAATAGGATTATTTTTTATCCCAGGCTATTGAACTTCTTACAAGATTTATCTTTCTTTTTTTTCATATTGAAAATAAAAGGACAAAAGATGAACCGTACAAGAACGTCGAAAACATCGTCTCCGAAGAATATTATTGTTATTATTATTATTTATTTATTCGATAAAATTTTCCTCGGAGATAACGTCTTGAAATACAGTTTAGGACCGAATTCTCTTATTGGCTATCGCATCGTCGGATCGGATGTTGTACGTCGTGTGAATGCAGCATAATATTGTTCTAAACGGACCAGCGGTTGGTAGTGTAGTCGTTACTAGATCTTTCATTATCATATGTTTTCCGCACACTGTTGCAAGTGTTAACATTCATACACCTGCGAGCTGTTTAAGGCAGTGCAGACTCATCGCCGAAAAAAAATCTCTACTCCAAAACACCGTTTTATTCTTATCGTGGAGGACTACGCGGGGTTAATTTTGCGATTGCTTGACGTACGTTGCGCGAGCTCACCACCTCGGCAATATGATTATAACGCTGAAAAACTTACAGCAGCAAACCTTCACGATAGAGATCGACTCGTCGCAAACTGTAAGTAAAATTTGGCAAGATCTAGCGACGGAGCCGACTTTTTCAAGCGGTTAACGATTCAGATATTTGCCTGTTATCAGGTCAAAGATCTCAAGGAGAAGATCGAAACGCAGAAAGGCTTCCCCGCCGAACATCAGAAGTTGATATACGCTGGTAAGGATTTACAGCATCAAATAACCTAATACGTCGGGAACATTATCCAACCGCCCGGCGTGCTCGTCAACACAGCTGGGAGAAAATCCGCGTTAGAATAATATACTGACTATTGCATGGCCCGTATATGTTTAAATATAGCTCCCTCGGGATAGGAATGATCTTGCAGAAACGCGCTCATAGGTTATGTTTCCGTCTCGCACACGTTGGGGTCTGTAACGAATTTTTTTTTTTTACTTTTTGTTATTGTAACAATGTGTAAACATTTGCAGGAAAAATATTAGCGGACGAGCAGCCTTTAGCAGAATATAATATCGATGAGAAGAAATTTATAGTTGTTATGGTAACAAAGCCTAAAACTGGTGCTACACCTAAAACAAGCGAAGAACAGCGCACAGAGGGTGGTGATAAGAAGGAAGAATCTACTAGGTAACTTTAGGATTGCGATATTTTGCGTAAAGCGCGATAAATATGCTGTTTGTTGTAAAATGTTTATTATATCAAACATTAGTTACAACAAATATAATCATTTGCCAAATACTATTGAGAGAACAAACTGTTTCTTTTTTTCAGATTATATATATGCAGAATAGAAATTAGTTCACTTCATGTTTCTTTATCTTTCTGTTGTAGCTCGGCAACTACACAACCTAGTTCGAACCCTAATGTTCAGGATACTATACGAGCAGCTAGTAATGTGCAAGAGCAACCCGTAGCAGCTGCTCCAGCGGCTGGTCAAGCAGAAAGTGCCTTGCTAATGGGAGAGGATTATAATACTATGGTAAACAACATTATGGATATGGGGTACGTACGGAGAAAAATGACATGTTAAATTGCAATTATTAGTATTTATATGATAATCTCATCATTTGAATTAGGTATGAACGTGAGCAGGTCGTACAGGCGCTGCGCGCAAGTTTTAACAATCCTGATAGGGCTGTCGAGTATCTCATAACAGGTATACCAGCGCAACTCTTCGAGGATCCACCTGAAGATCCACCAGAAGCTCAAGAACAACTTCAGGATCAAAGTCAAGATCCATTGGCCTTTTTACGTTTGCAGCCACAATTTCAACAAATGCGTCAGGTCATTCAACAGAATCCACAGTTGCTGAACAATCTTCTTCAGCAAATCGGTTCCACTAATCCTGCCCTTTTACAGCTTATTTCTCAAAATCAGGAAGCATTTGTACGCATGCTCAATGAACCTGGTTAGTTTAGTGTATGCTTAAAACATCATCGTCATTGTAATTGAAAATAACAGTTGGTAACTATATAATATTAATAATATATATATATATATAATTTGTCGTGCCTTTTCTCGTATTGGCGCTGTGAATGGTGGACCTGGCGCGGGTGCAGCAACGGGCGTAGGATCTGGTTTAATACAGATAACACCACAAGACAGAGAAGCTATTGAAAGGTTGAAGGCGTTAGGTTTCCCAGAACATTTAGTCGTACAAGCATATTTCGCCTGTGAAAAGAACGAAAATCTCGCTGCTAACTTCCTACTTTCGCAAAACCTTGACGACTGAATCGCTCATCTTGATTTTGCGCGGTGTTTCGAATAAAGAACGGGACTGACAGAGGGTGGATGATCGCACCATTATCATTTTTACCTTACAATAATCATCTTTATTTTGTATATAGATATATACAATATCTATGCTATTTTATTTGTTGTGTAGATAAAATCCTGGTGTGTTTGGTAAGCGATTGAATTTAAAGATAAGCGCATACCATAACATTACATATATGTCGACTCTTTTAAGCATTGTTTCATATTTTTAAAAACATTTCATTCAATATCTAACACATGTTTATGAGAGAAAGAATTGTTGCTTACAGCAGATGATGTTATGAAATCCATCCTTATAGCCTACAAGTGCTCTAAGATCTTATATTTCTTTAATATATATGGAGCAATATAATTGCATTTTTATATGAGAAAGCCTTACGAGCCTTACTCTGCAGAAGAATACCTTGCAGTAGTTATATATTGAGGGTCGGGCATATATAAATTGAAGATGTGTTCACTCTCGCGTTAAGGTATGTTTTATACATATCTAAATGTTTGCATGTAGGTATAATAAGTGCATTTTGTATATTTCTCGGCTTTCTGATATAAAAATTATAGAATGCATCTGTTTGGGTACGTGTACTTGCATATATTCGTATTAATGTATGTATGTACAAAGAGATTTCTATTTTGAAATGATAATACTGTGGTAAACTAATTTAAATATTAAAAAGCTCTCTTATGATACACACATGTTACAAATCAGTAAATTGTAATAGTTTGTCATAAAATATGTAACTTGCCATATACATATATATAAAATCTTAATCTATTTGGAGCTTAATAATTATAATTTAAATATAACATTACATTTTTGCTAATAATGTGATGTTTTTTGCTTATCAAATCATTCATAATATATTCAATAAGAAAGTTTAGCTATTATGTATTTATTAAATAATCTTGAATAAAAAAAACCCTTGAATACATTGTTACATATATAATATTGGAATTTTTTATTAAAGCTAGATTATGAAACAAAGTATTATACTATTTCAAATATGACATATCTGATGATATCTTTCTTTTTACAGTGTAAAACAATTAATTTTTTCTTAACACAAAGAATTCAATTTTTGTATCACATAATAACATACATACGTATATACGCATTTATGCATGTTACATAAGTAGGAAATTCTTAATTCTTAAATTTGTACCATACACAGTTACTTATTAATATCATTGAAACAATAATAAATATTGAAAAATTTTCATCGCTCTTACATATATTTAGTGCAAAAATAATATAAGGAATTATTCGTTGGAGAGTTATAGTAACAATGCATAAAATTCCAATCTGTTTGTTATGCTGACGAATTTTATCCCTCCTTTTTTATAAAAATAGAGAAATTATTAATAGAAAAGAACTGCTGTTAAAACAGAACACATTCTCTGTTGTGTGCTCAACACACTTGTAATAACATAGTATAAATGAATAAATTACGATTTCCACAAAGCCCGTTATATTACTACTAATAACTTTATAGAAGATTTGAGCACATGCACTTTGTTCTCCAATGTTGTAAAGACTGCTATACATAGACATCTAAATGTAAAAACATAATTATGATACCTAAAAATATATGTATCTATATTCTCTAAAAAACGCAATAATGTTAACATAAGGTATTTTATTAGTCGAGATGTTTATACTTTTATAATTAAAAAGCTTCACATACAGTAGCCTTTTTATGCACCAATATAAAAAAATGGTACAAATAATCACAAATATTATAAATTTGTTGTTAAAAAATTCAAATTTGATTCATAAGCAAAATTTTGTTTGATAGTCTAAATCAATTTTACAAATATGCATAAAACCATATAAAACTTTAAGAAATTTATATTTACAAAATTATATATGTACAAATTAGAAAAGTAATGTTTTTTTATATTTTACATTATACTATTTACAAAAGTTTTATGAAGTTGAAGAAACATCAGTCCCTTGTAACATTATACCTTTGCTTTGAAGATCCTTCTTAGCTTCTTCTATTTGCTAAAAGAAAAAGCAACAACAGTATTAGATAACAATATATTACATGTACAACTATGACTTTTAAAAAGAAGATAACTAACTCGTTGAAGCTCAATGGCTGCGCTTTCACAGTTATTAAAAGTAAATACCCTGAACAAGACAACAGTAATTGCATACAATCCAAAGAGAAATAAGGAGGTAATTGGAAGAAAAAGTATAATTTCACGCCATTCCTTGACAAGAACAGAGTTGCTTGTAATTGTAGCAAACCACACGCCGAAGATTACAGTTGCACAAGATAGCCACTCTAGTAATTTTGTCATCTGTAAAAAAATATTTATATCATTTCCCCAGTTATTTATCACTTTTATCAAAATGGAACAAAATGCTTATTAAAGAACAATATTTCACTTTTTAATCATGTATGTAAATAGGTTTTGGAGATAATGTGCCATATCCATAAATTTCATATTATAATATACATATATGATAAAAAATCCCGTATTTTACTGGAGTTTTTGTGTCATTATCAAATATTATTAAAATATTAACATGTGTTTATACGTACTTTCTTTTAGTCTTAACCTCGAAAACCTAATAGATACAAAAATAATCGAAAGGAATGTGAAGTCTATTCTATTCTATTCTTGAAGTGTATGGCCCCGAGCGCGTGCAGCGTCGATACGGCCAGAAGAAATGTGAAGGAATGTGTGTGATGTCAAATGTGTAAATTGTGAGATGAAGGCTATAAACATTAAACCCGTATTGGACTACGCGTCGAGATTTGCGACTGCCAACCAATCAGAATGAAGAAATATTTGTCCTGATTACGCAAGTCTGTAGGTCTAATTTTACGTTCTCAAACTTCCTTTCTCATGAAAACTGGACAATAACTTTATTCCAGAATTATATATTTTAGATTATTCTCAATTTTTTTGTATATTTGAAAAATCTTAATTATGCTGAGGTAATTTATGATTTTAGAAATGAAAATACAAACATACTTTCTTCAAATATATTTTTGTTTTATTTACAAATATTTGTTAAACCATAATTTATCAAATGGTGATAACCATCTTTGGCAACCAAGCATGTTATTTTGAACCATGTATTTCCAAGTCCAAAGATGCAAATTATTTTCTTCCAACCATTTCTCTTTAGCTATATTTTTATCTAGAATTTGTTGACTGACAGCTATAGCTTTGAACGGTAGTTGATTTGCTATTTGGTTTAATACTTTCTTTACCTAAAAAGAATTTTATGTTTCAATATATTTCCATTTATTTACATTTTTTATTTAGAAATCGTTTTTAATATCTCATGTCTTACTTAACTTGTGCTGCTGCGCATGGTGCAAATAAGCAAAAAATTTGCAATTTTAACACAAAAATTTAAATTCATGAAAATTGATAAAATATCAGAAAATCAAAAAGATTGCATTACTTAAAATTTCAATTTTTCAAAATCCCAGGAATAACAATTTCGAAAATTTGTATCATGAAGATTTATTGAAATCGAATTCATATACGAAATTAATATTATTGTATTATTTTTTGATACTCTTATTGATTGAGGTAAAAAATTTTTGAAAATCAACAAAATATTGTAGAACAAAATTACGCTATTTAGAATACCAAGAATTTTCTAAAGATATATCTTTGAGATATCTTTTAGCCTCACATGTACTGTCAGGATAAGTTCTTTAAAAAAAATGTTAAAAAACAGTACATTATCAAGATACCTCAAAATATTCACAATGACCACCAACTTCCATAATGACTCGTCCTGCTTTAATAGGAGTGACATAATGGTCAATAGCACCTTTACCTCCACCCATACGATGTCCTTGTCCCTAAAATATAATTATTATAGTAAGAAAGTATTTCTTTGGTATTCCATATTGTATGATCCATTATATTTGTTAAACCTTTTTTGTAACTGGTTGCCACGGTGGATCCACACGCCAAATTGCAAACATCCTTTGTTGATCGAGTTTTCTACCAATTGTTAAACGTATCATCTCGAAATGACCATATTTCATTCTACCTCCTCCTGTAGCCTACGATTTAAGAAAATGATAATACATTTCTAAGATTTTCCTTATCACTAAGAACTGTCTATGAATACTGTCCTAAAAATAGTATTTAGAGTTTGTTTTTATTTTCAGTAATGTTTTAATAAAATGCTAACTCTGACTGGTTTATACTTTAAACTGTATTTAAGATGGTCTTAAATATAAGAACCTACTATAATACTGGCTTAAATGTATTGTAAATGCAGACTTACAATGATACCAAATTGTCTGTACATAAGGAAATTATGTATTTTTTCTGGACCCCGCATGTACTTTAATCGCTTTTGCATTTTGGGAGGACGCATTCCTGGTGGAAACTGTGGAACTCTTTCCACTATCTTGAGTTTTGCTCGCTCCGGAAATTCAATATCTGATGACCATATATTAAATATAATATCAACTTAGTTTCTTTAACATTTATAATATTTATCTATAATTGTGTGATACACTTACCACCAAATTTTATTGGAGGAGGAAAGATCTTCAAACCAGCTACTGGTGTTATAGATACAGATTGCCATGCTATAAAAATATCTCACAATGTGAAAAGTATCACAATGTGAAAAATACTGACAAAATCCAGAGAGATGTTTTTAAATGTATCATATTGAAAACACTTACTGGAAAGTAAAAGACGTGCCACGTTTTTGGAAGCTTGTAACATTTTTAAGTTAAAGATATATCTCTTTAGTTTATAGCTATATGAATCGCTGAGCGAATCGAAGCCAAGAAATAACTTTTTCTTGAACTTTTTCTTTCAATTTTTCCTTCAATTACCTCATAAAACAATATTTGCAAGCAAGTAAACGTATACAAACATTTTTTTGTATCCTTTAATTTGTCGAGTAGATTTATATTTCTTTGTATATTAATTAAATCATTAAATCTATTTACTTGCAAATGTTGTACTTAGAATCTTCGTTTTCTCTCTCTTGAATGTGTAAATACATTTATCTCATCATATTGCAAAAATTTTGGAGATTACAAGCAATGCGAACAGTCAGCAACAGCGAGTTCTTTAGCTACCTATCGGTAAACTATGTAAATTAATAAAACTGTATATTGACAATTAACAAAAAGGGGATCCTAAAATGGATACTTTCTATTTGATGACAAATCGAGACAAATGTCGTTCTATTCTTCTTGATATTCAGAGAGCGATAAAGGTAGCAATTCAATACCCTCAGAGAGAAACCTGGAGAAACCTGAGAAAGGTTATGTCCGTTATCCCAGAGCTCTGATTGGACGGCTCGTTATTCCCTGTTGCCTGTGCCTATTGCCTGTGTCTATTGTGTTTCCAGCTTTAGGGGCTCCGCACAATAAAAGGAATAGCGAACAGAGAACAGAGAATAAGGGCCTGCGCAAAATAGAGGAACAAGAATTGGACATTAAGATTTCAACCTATAAGAAACCGTATATTCCGATGTAAAGTTTCTGATAGGTAGAAATCTCAATATCTAATTCCTGTTCCTGTATTGTGTTCAGGCCCAAAGAATTGCAACCTATCAGAAATCAGGTATTGTGGAAAACACAGTGTGTTCAACCGCCGAAATCGTCCGTATACTACCGCCAGTACATCCATTTTCAATTTGAGAACTACGTGAATATATACACTATCGATGAAATCGTACCGTCGAAAGTAGATGTGGTTCGTCTCTGTACTAGATCCTCAGGACAGAAGCGTGCCGATTATC